ACAAATTGAAAATGATGTGTTAGCGGTCAGCCACTGCAAAAATTATCTGAAGATACCTCGATTAGAAGCGAAACACGTGTCATAATTTCAACGGTGGTGTGTCTTTCCTAGTGAAGTGGTTTTTGGCAGTATTGAGTTTGGCAGGCATTTAGCAGGGATGGGAGATATGATAAGGATATAGAACGACGAGTGAATGCGGGAAATAGAGTAAATGGGGCCTTGCACTCTATTGTGAAGAGTCAAAATGTGTCGAAAAAGGCACGCATGGCAATTCAAAATGCTGTGTTGGTCCCTACTTTAACGTATGACAGTGAAAGTTGGGTGTGGCAGAAGAAGCACGAGAGTAGAATAAACGCAGTAGAAATGAGGTCGTTAAGGAGTATGTTAGGGCTGAATCTGAATGACAGGGTAAGAAATTGTGTAATAAGAGAAGAGTGTGGTTTGTAAGATGATGTTGTGACCAGGATTAAAAAAGGAATGCTTCGGTGGTTTGGTCATGTGGAAAGAATGAATGAGGAAAGAGTGACAAAGAAAATTTATGTTGCAGAAGTGAATGGCAGAGTCGGAAAGGGACGTCCTAGGCGAAAATTTATCGACCAAATTGGCGATTTATTGGAAACGGGCCAAATTAGGAGTACCCTTAACCGACGAGCATGTATGCGTAGGTGTATGGATGTGAAAGAGGCGAGAGAGGTGTGTCAGGATCGTGCCAAATGGAAATCTGTAGTCTCTGCCTACCCCTCTGGGTGACAGGCGTGAGTGTTTATGGATTTATTATGAGTTTGGCAGTATGTGAGACACATCGTATTATTTTATTACATAATTCGGAGAGTTAATTAAAAAAAATCTTAAATCTTTTTAATATTTTCTTTCTTCCGCAAAGTAACGTCTGATTCTGTTAATATTTGATCTTAATACGTGGTAGAACCATGCTGCTGCTCCATTGTGGTTCGTATACGAATGGGTAGGCTCAACCGGGGAAGAACCACGCTCTCACAGAATACCAGGGTAAAATAACAGCTTAAAACTGTTGTGTTTCGTATGATGAATTTATGATGTATGATGAATTTAGAGATCCGAATACCCTTTTTACTGGAGACGAGACATGCCATCTTAATCCTTAGGGATGACAACGCATCTGCATTCTTAATCGAGGATAAATGTATACGTCTATGGGCTACAGTATCCATTTACCATCAGGTGGACTGTGTGCTTGTTCGTTACCCTTAGTCTATATAAAAAAAGAAAATACCATAATGAAATTCTTAACCATTACGTATAAATGTTTCAATACTTTGAAAGTTTTTTTTACTTCTTCTTCCTATATACTTTATGGCTTCTCTAACATAATTCCACCAATATTGAATCGGTATCTTTTTCATACAGTTTTTTGTGACGTAAATATAACAAAATATTGTATATAATGATATTCACACAGCTATTACTATCGTGGTTTTGTTATTTTCTGAGTTAAATATTTTAAATGTATGTTTTTATAGACATAGTTTTTTGATTTAAGCTACATTACTCTGCTACATTGAATTCGAAACAAGTTACGATTAAAAAAATCTGAATCAAAATAAGTGTCAGACATTTAATATTTAAGGTTTTCGTTTTCCTTCTTACTGTTTATGGTAATTTATTAAATAATAAGTATTCAAAAATGATTAAACTTAATTTGGAACTGTATCCAACAAGTATCTGCGAAATTTGCGCAAGTAAATAAAACACTAAAATTCAATTTTACTTAAATGTAATGTAAGGGTTTAGTGTACGCGTACATATAATAAACCATAATATAATACTAATATATTACAAATATTATCGTATTATATTAGTAGTAGTTTATATTGATTGACTGCCTCGTTGGTCTAGTGGTTGTAGTAGTGCGACTACTGATCATGAGGTCCTGAACTGATACAAACATAAGCCAAGAGCTCTTGGCGCATCCAAAATCATGATCTTGGGCAAACATTTAATCCTTGGAATCGGAGTAACAGTTACAGAATAATCCAACTACTGTAGATTATGTTGGTAATTTGTTAACGAAAATCGTTCATGTATTAGCAACTATTATCATTGATATTAAAGTTGCTAAGAGAAATGTCTGCAGTAGTGAGTAGTATCAAATGTTACGGAAGGAAAACGCTCTTTATTCAAGTCGGCGCGAGTGTCTTACATGGGAAGAAGAGTTACAGATGGCTCTTTCTACTTTGCTCAATTCTTTTTAAATTTAGCATAAAGTGTTCATTATCTGACTATAAACATTGTTTTTGTTATTTTTCAATAATCATAGTTTATTTTGACATAACGGAAAACTGTTCGTATAAGTACAACCTTTAAAAAATCGCATTATTAATATCTAATTTGTTGAATAGTTTATTTTTTCTTTGTTTTCCACTTGCCTATAGTTTGATTTCTAGCCACAAAACATTTTTTAATAGGAGAGGGGGTAAGCAATCACGCGGCTCACATGATGGTAACTAATGACTGCCGCCCATGATCCATCGCAACACCAGGGGAATTCCAGGTGCGATACCGGATCTTAAAAAGGAGTAGGTACTTTTCTAGAAGGTCCGTAAGTCGTATCGGTCCGAAAAAATCTCTGGTTCAACAAAGAAATCGCACGAGGGAGAAAATTTCTTGTAAATCGTACAGTAGTGGACCACCAAGCATTCAGGAGGTGTGGATAGTATCGCAAATTCTGTCGCGATGTGCGATGGTGGAAGTTGGCGGCTGGAGGAGACCCTCTGTGGAAAATGCTATGTAAAAAGGAAATAGATGCAATATCTCTTCACTCACAGTAAATTTAGCTGATAAGAAAGAACTCGGGCTTCAATGGTTTGGGCCTCTCTGTTGGATGTGGTCAAGCAGAAGGAGCAATCAGTGAGGTGCCCCGACCTATAGATGTGAACAGTATTAGATGTAAGGTCGAACTAGCATCTTATAATGTTGTAAACGGTGTGCTAGCAGTAGACTATTCGGCTATACTGAGCATGTCAAGCTTCTCATCGCGTGATTGCAGAACTAAACAGCACTTCATATGCTGACACCGAATATTTCGAGGCTGTAGCAATAAGGGGAATGCCTTGAAATTAAAGAGATACAGTAAAAGGGTTCCTTTTAAAAATATTGAGGGTCAGAATAGAAATTTCCTGATTTAATTGCATTGTTAAGGAACAGCGGACATAGTTTTTTAGTAAACTTGTTATGGACCAAGCGATTAATCAAGGCTTTATTTATAATTCCCTAGCAATATGAATATTGACAATTCAAATCTGGCTCTGTAGTTAATACCAATTTATCCTTCATTATTTATCACATTGTCTAGTCATAATCTGATCTAACCTTATATATCTTTATTACTCTGCCCATTACGTAACGAACTTAATCCATAAAGCCGTTATTTATTTCATTCGTTTTTATTATTTTACTTGCACATTTTAGGTATTTTCACTTTTTTCATAACATACATAATATTACCGTAATGATTGAGTTTCTACAAGAGATCCACACAAAGATCAAAGATACAATACAATACAATACAATACAATACAATACAATACAATACCCTTTATTGAACACTAAGAAAACGTCATAACAAGAAACAAACAAAGAGAAAAACGAAAGGCCGTCGTATTGCTATGTAGCAATTTCTTCCAGACAACCTAAATAGGAAATAAAAATAAGTGAAAAGTTAATTAATGGGTAGAGTGCACTATAAATAATATTATAAAAAATATCCTGTGAAAGCAAAATCGTTAAAAGAAAGTATAAGTAAGAAATCGCAGGATTTCAGGTTCAATGATTCGAACAACTGAAACTGCAATTGAACGCAAGGAAAACAATCCCCGTGACTTGCCAGAGGTTTGTGAATGGTTGAATTTAAATTGAAGCACATTCCTACAAGTATCATGAATATTTTCTTATCTGTTTGGTTATATGCAATCTCTTATTCCATTATTTTTTATGGAATAACGGTGACAAACGAGCACATATTCCACTTAGTGGTGTGTAGATATTGTAGTTGATAAACATCTACTTTACACATTAAGCTATATTAGTGCTACAACCATAGTATAGCTGCAGCGTGGCTCTATCACATGTAAACTTACTGCTGTACACAAGTCTTCTCTCAGTTCTGAGTGAGTAATTAAGCAATAAATACACCACGTTAGTCCAGTTTGTGTTGCCAGACGTCATTTGTCTTCAAAATATTTTATTACTCATTTCTCCTATTCACTTCTAGTATTTGGACCTTAATCTAATATCCGTTAACGCCGTTGCGAATCACGATGGCCCGGGTTCGAATCGCGTTTGGATCGGGCCAAAAATCAGTTATTAGGGTTTCTCTGTCAAGAAATTCTCAGTAGCAGGCTGCAGTCAGAAAGTTGGCAATGTTTCACACCCGTATCTCAGAAAGCACGTAAAGCTGTTGGTCCTACGCCTGATCTCTCTCCGGTCGTGTCAGACCACCGTCCCAGCGGACTATGAGAGTGAGAGAATAGAGAGTGCACGTGTGCTTGCGCAAGATAATCCTGTCCTGCTCAGTTGACTAGTCTCCGTTGAAACTGGTCGTCGTGACCGAAATTTGGTCTGGAGGACATTATTATCACTTCCAATTTTATGCAAGCAGTGCCATGATAGTACAGTGTGTAAGCTCTTGCAGTATATTACTCCTTTAAAACCACAAACCCGGGTTCAATCATCGTCGGCACCAATGAAATTATTGATTGCAATTTAAGTACTGACTTATCACGTGTTCAGTGGTGAAAGAAAACATCGTGGGGAAATAAAATTGATTTTTTAATGATATTGTTCAAATGATAAATACGTTTAATGTAAGAAACGACTTTCCTTTAAAAAATACCAATTTGACATATACGTGTGCAGTACGGTCATCCAACCAGTAATAAACGAGTGTTACAAGACAGCGGTTGTTTCATTGCATTCATAAACATATCATTGGCGACGAGGAAGGAGTACCCACAATAAAAAAAATGGCTTATCTGGGAAATCTGCCTATTTTTGACCATAAGTCAAGTGAATGGTCAATTTTCAAAAGCAGACTAACTCAGTTTGCGAAGATAAATCGCGTCGAAGAAGTGAACAAAAGTGGAATTCTTCTCACCCATCTTACGGATGAAACGTATCGCTTGGTACGAAACTTAGCGTACCCGCAAGACTTAGAATCTCTAAGTTACTCGAATCTCGTTAAATTACTCGACGGTCATTTCAAGCCAAAAAAATGCTCATTTGTGGATAAAGAAAAATTTTTTGGGGCAACCAGAAATCCAGGCGAATCATTGGGAGACTGGGCAACGCGATTGAGAGGTCTCGCAAGCAATTCTGACTTCGGCACTGCCTTGGAAACGAATTTAAGAGATCGTTTCGTCCTCGGCCTGGGCCCTGGCCCGGAACAAGATAAGTTGTTCGAAGAAGACCCGTCCACATTGACACTGTCAGTAGCTATGGAGCTAGCCGAGCAGGCGGCGTATGCCAGGCAGGCGAAGGTTATGTTATGCACCAGCGAACATGCTCCAATTAAGGAGGAACCGGTATACCGAGCGAAATTTCAAAGTCAAGGAGACAGCGGCGCGGCTATACGGCGTCCTAATGCTGGCAGGACATCAGCGGGTCGCGACCAACCGAGAGATTTTTCTCGTTGTTCGGTCTGTGGCTTGAAGAACCACCAAAGTGATAAGTGCCGTTATAAAAGTTACAAATGTCAAAAGTGCGGTGAAAAAGGTCATTTAAAGAAAGTGTGCGATAGTGTCAATAGATCGCGGATGTACCATATCGAGTCGGTAAGCGAATCAGAGCAGGTCAAGGACACGTCTTGTGAGGAGTGCCACAATTTTAATTTGAGGTATGTGACTGATAAGCCCATTTCAATTGGTGTAATAATAGGTAATCAGTGTATGACAATGGAGCTTGATTCAGGATCAAGTAAAAGTGTGATTTCTTATAATACATATAAGAAAAAATTCTTAAAATATTCATTACGTAGTAGTTCTGTAAAAATGTGCTTATATAACGGACACAAGATTGATCCATTAGGTTATATTACTGTAGAAACTAGTTACAATAACAGTACAAAATTGATTAAATATTTTGTTGTCAAAAATGGGGGACCGCCTATACTAGGTAGGGATTTCATGAGCGCCTTTAATTTTGTGATTACTACTAAATTAAATTACATAAGAAATGATTCCGAATTGCATGAGTTATTAAATAAATATTCGGCGTTGTGGCGTGACGAGTTGGGCGCATTTAATAACTTTAAAGTCAGTTTGCAGTTGAAGGCGAATGCTGTGCCTAAGTTTTTTAAGCCACGTACTGTACCCTTTGCCCTTAGAGATAAAGTCGAACAAGAGCTAAACCGATTAGTGCACTTGGGTATCCTTGTTCCTATTAATTATTCTTTTAGGAGCTGACTCCATATGGGTGCCTATTGGTGACCATAATGAAAGATGAAATCTTTTATTAATATATTTATTACAGCGGAACGTGCCATACAGTTGGCGGGCAAACTAGTGACTGGTTGAAAAATCTTATTCACTACATAATATAGTTACAATACAACATTGCGAAGTTTACATGTGTGTGCGCAGCACACCTACAATACTTCCCCCTTTACAAAAAATGAATACAAAAAACTTAAAACTATACAATGAATATAAACTTAAAACTAACAACAAAAACTTGCTAATGCGCTTGTGCGCAGGGCTGTACGGAGACCCCCGCGAAAGGGGTGGCGGCCGCGGCGGGCGCGGGCACATGCTGCAGACTGGTGCTAGAAGCACCTATCATCTGACCCATATTCTGGCCCGATATCGGAACGCCTGTCATTAACACCTGATGACGAAGCCAGCTTTTGAACTTCTTATTAAACTTTACCCAAATAGTGTACAGGATTATCGCCCCCATAAAACTGGCTATCACATATAACCATGTTTGAAAATTATCCACTTTATTCTCTACAGTATTTTGAGCCTGAGAAACAATAACTGGTTTTTCTTGAAAATCACCCATAGTAAAAATCGTAAAACTTATCGCGCTAATGCTATCGCAAAGGAAGTATTTCGAATGAAATTATATTAAATACATTATAACTAAACTAGCTACCTGGAACCTATATGAGAGTGCAGTATACGCAAAATACTGAACACGATACCTCTACAATTACATTCAACTTAAATAATGTAACTTGAATATCCTGAATGAAAATATTATGCACTTGACAATGCAAATAATACTTTCACATCCATAGTAACTAAACCTGATTATCATTTAGACATGTAATTGTATAATATATATTTTATATTAACACTAGCTTATAAATCGTGAAGGTAACTTAACAATCCGACCACTTCGCGTTGTTTTCACGGTTATCGGGTTGCTCGGGCCGGGTAACAACGACGTCAGCGGTGTGGACGGTGGTAACGGAAACCGTACATGCGCAGGTGCCACATCCGCTGCGTTGTCAGCGTTACTTTGGCGTGGCGTTGCTTCGTTACCATCACATTCCTTTAATACATATGCAGGCTTTAATCTGTCGATAGAAATATGTACCTGTCTATCGGGTAATTGAATTAGGTAAACTTTTGAGCCCCTTTTTTATCACGCGGTATGGACCGTCGTAGGGTGGTTTCAAAGGTTTACGTATTGAATCGTCCCTAACAAAGACATATTCACAGTTACGTAAGTCCTTGTGCACAAAAAAACTATGACAGTTACGTGAATCGTCGGATGTAGGCTTATAACTACGAATAGTATCTCTAATCTTATCCACTAAACAATAATCATTGACGTTACGGTTGTTCGAAGAGCCGTCATAAAAGTCTCCCGGTAGACGTAAGTTTCGTCCGAACGTTAACTCGGCGGCGCTAACCCCTGAGTCACTGCGGGCGGCCGCGCGAAGCCCAAGTAATACTGTGGGTAGCTCTTCCACCCAGGACCCATGTGACAGGCGAGCTGAAAGTGCTGTTTTTAAAGAACGATGCCAACATTCAACTGCGCCATTGCTTTGCGGATGATAAGGAGTAGTTCGAATTCTATTAACCCCCAACATTTTTAATAGCTGGTTAAAAAGACTACTCTCAAACTGGCGACCTTGGTCGCTAGTTAACTTTATCGGGCAACCGTAACGACAAATCCAACCTTCATATAAATGTTTGGCAACAGTTTCTGCCGTAATGTCTCGTAACGGAAAAGCTTCAGGCCACCTGGTCCTCCTATCAATTATCGTGAGTAAGTATCTATAACCATCTGGTGAGATCTCAAGAGGGCCAACGATATCGACGTGCACATGCTCAAAACGCTCTACTTCCGGAAACTTAGTCAGATTCGATACCGTATGTCTGTTAACTTTAGAACGTTGACATTGTATGCACGTTTTTGCCCACAAAGAAACATCACGATTCATACTAGGCCAGAAATACTTTTTGGCTAACATCTTTCGCGTAGAACGAATTCCAGGATGGCTCAAATTATGTAAACTATCAAAAGCTAGGCGTCGAAACTTTTCCGGTAGGTACGGACGAGCTGTATCAGTAGACATCTCACAAAAAATAGACTTATTTAACATAGGTATAACTAGTTCCTTTAACAAAATATTATCGGTATTTAAACCAGACATAACATTCATGATATAACTGTCGCTACGCTGCTCATTTGCAATGTCATCGAAATTCAACGCAGTTGGCATAGTCACGGCTTCGATGCGCGATAAGGTGTCAGCTACGATGTTATTCGTACCGGTTATATGTCTTATATTTGTAGTGAACTCACTTATGAAAGCTAAATGTCTCGTTCTCCGAGGCGTTTCGCTTTCATCGCGTCCTACCTTTTGAAATGCAAAAGTTAAAGGTTTATGGTCCGTATACACGGTTATTTCTTGCCCTTCAAATAATTTCCGAAAATGTTTTATAGCTAAGTATATAGCGAGCAACTCGCGATCGTATGTGCTATATCGCTGTTGGGTGGTGGTCAATTTTTTTGAGAAATAGCCCAATGGTTTCCAGCTATCTCCTTCCTTTTGTTGCAAGACTGCTCCCACGCATGTATTAGATGCATCAGTCATTAAAGCGAGTGCGGAACCCACTCTAGGGTACGTCAATGTAGCGGCCTGTGTGAGACCTGCCTTACATTGCGTAAATGCTTCGTTCGCACTATCCGTCCAGACGATGGGAGTCTTATCATTTTTCTTTGAGCTTTTAAGATATTTATTTAATTCTGTTAGATATAAAGTTGCGTTGGGAAGATGAGCTCGATAAAAATTGACCATACCGAGAAAACGTCTTAGTTCTGCAACAGTTTTCGGCTTCGAAAATTCCACAATTGCCTGAACCTTATCTTGCAACGGCCTGACACCGTCGGTACTAATCTCGTGTCCCAAAAATTCTAGTTTAGTTTGTCCGAAACGACAATTTGCCAAATTAATTGAAATTCCATATTTATTAAGCCTTTTAAAAATAATTTGTAAATGTTGCCTGTGTTGAACTTCGTTGTCACTAGCTATAAGTAAGTCGTCTAAATAACAAAAAACAAAATCAAGACCTTGTAAAATGGAGTTCATAAAGCGCTGGAAGGTTTGTGCTGCTCCGCGCAAACCGAAGGTCATTCGAGGAAACTCGAAAAGTCCGAATGGTGTTATGATAGCGGTTTTCTCCACGTCACCTGGTGCGACAGGTATAAAATGATAACTTCTATTGATGTCTAATTTTGAAAATATCTTTTTTATCCGGAAGAATAAAAGTAAAATCGTTCAAGCGAGGAATCGGGTATCTGTCGGGCTTTGTTATCGCATTCAGCTGGCGATAGTCCCCACAAGGTCTTATATCTCCATTCTTTTTAGGAACTACATGGAGCGGACTAGCCCACGCGCTCTTTGAAGGACGACAGATGCCCAGTTCTTGCATGATGCGAAATTCTTCTTTAACTTTTTTATACCTGTCAGGTGGCAACGGGCGCGCTTTCGCGTGCACGGGCGGGCCAGAGGTCTCGATATAGTGGACGACATCGTGTTTCGCAGTTTCTCGGAATGACGCTGGTTTAGTGATGTCCGGATACTTTAACAATAAATCCTGATATGAATGATTTACATCAATAGTTTTAACACTAGGTTGAGATACATTGACAACAGATGCCGAAACATTCAATTCTGTAGTTTTATCTATTAATTTACGCGCGTTTAAATCAACTAATAGTTTGTGGTACGCTAAAAAATCGGCGCCCAAAATTGGTTGTTTGACATCTGCTACAACGAATTCCCAACGATAAGGTCGGCGTAAGTTTAAGTTTAACACTATTGTCTTGGTACCGTAAGTTGCGATTTCATTGCCGTTAGCTGCGTATAATTTATATTCACTACACTGATTTAGACGATCTTTTCTCACGGCTGGTAAAACAGACACATTGGCACCGGTGTCAACTAAAAATCTAAGTCCGGAGTTACTGTCTGACACACACAAACGATTGAATGGAAAAACGGTACAGACCTGAAGACCCTCGGACTGTACCTCGCTGCTCAGTTTTCCGGCTGTGTTGTTTTCCACGCGCAAGGCTTCGTACACCTGTTGGCCTTTTCTCGGAACCTGTAATGGTAAAAGCATAAGTAGTTCTCCTTCCGGGGACGGCAGGGACTGCTACGGCGCCTGGACTGTGAACGACGCCGGTTGCGATCAGGGGCGCGGGACCGCGACCTCTGCTGATCGATCCGGTCCACGGTAGCCTTTATTTTAGCCACCTCAGCTCTCAACAGGGCCAAGTCATAGGCGGTAGTAGATGCTGGCGCTGGCACGGTGTAAGTAGCGGTGGCGGCATAGGAAGGCCGCACAGCCTCCATGACGTTATCTGCAACTGCTGCTAGGTTGTCCAGGTCCTTGGAGTCGGACACAGTTAGCACGGCTCGGACTTGTGTCGGAAGACGACCCTGCCACAAGACGCGAAGGGTTTCATCAGGAACCTTGTCAGTAGCGAGCTCACGCATCCGCCGAAGCAGCTGAGATGGTTTCTGGTCGCCCAGCTCTAGCTCGCTCATAAGCTTCTCGATCTGCCTCGACATTGACTCCTCATAGATGTGGAGTAGCCGAGCTTTGAGTGCGTCGTACTTGTAGGTAGGAGGCGGGTTGAGTAATATGTCCGTCACTTGCGCGATAACCTCCTTACTTAGCTTAGACACGACCAGGTCAAACTTCGCCTCATCACTCAACCTCTGAGGTGCGAGGATAGCTTCCGTGCGTACGAACCATACGCGTGGCTGGTCCGTCCAAAAGTCTGCGAGGCGAGACTGTAGGGACACTGCATCTACACCTGGCGCCATAATGGGCGGTTGCGCAGGTGGCTGAATGTCTTGAACGGGTGGCACGTTAACAGGCGGCACGTTCTGTGACGTAGGCGGAAACGGCGCACTCATGTTACTATATCTATTGTCCACCGATCACAACCACGCGAATATTGCCCACTACTGCATTAACATCACATAGACCACTTCGGTCATCTTGATCACGTCGGGGTCACCAGTTTAGGAGCTGACTCCATATGGGTGCCTATTGGTGACCATAATGAAAGATGAAATCTTTTATTAATATATTTATTACAGCGGAACGTGCCATACAGTTGGCGGGCAAACTAGTGACTGGTTGAAAAATCTTATTCACTACATAATATAGTTACAATACAACATTGCGAAGTTTACATGTGTGTGCGCAGCACACCTACATTCTCAATACGCCACCCCCATTGTGCCAGTTTTAAAAGATATTGGCCAAGTTAAAATCGCAGGTGATTTTTCTATTACATTAAATAAGGATCTCATAATAGAAAAATATCCCCTGCCTCGAATTGAAGAGGTTTTTGCCAAAATTGGAGGGGGGTGAGCACTATAGTAAAATTGATTTAAAAAACGCTTACAACCAGTTCGTCCTAGATGACGCGTCTCAGGAGCTCACGGCAATTAATACGCATAAAGGACTTTTTAAATACACTAGGTTAGTGTACGGCCTTTCTAGTGGTCCAGCCATTTTTCAAAGGAGCATGGAGACACTCTTATCAGGAATAGACGGGGTAAGCATATGGCTTGATGACATTTGTGTCACGGGCCTCGATAGAAATTCCCACATGCAGCGGCTAAGTAAAGTCCTAGATAGACTATGTAAGGCAGGCCTACGTTTACAAAAAGACAAATGTCAATTTTTCAGAGAAAGCGTCAGGTATTTGGGTTACGTGATTAGTAAAACGGGATTAAGGACCTGTCCGGATAAATTACAAGCCATTCTTAGTGCACCGGAACCAAATAACGTCACCGAAGTTAAAAGATTTCTAGGAGTAGTCAACTACTATAGAAATTTTATTCCAAACGCCTCTTCTGTACTGAGTCCTCTACATGAGCTAGTACGTAAAGATGCAAAATGGGAATGGGGAAAATGACAGCGACAAAGCGTCGCAGCGATACGGCGCGAACTGGCGTCAGAACGCGTGTTGACTCATTTCGAGCCAGCGGCGCAGCTAGTGCTAGCGGTGGACGCCGGCCCGACCGGTCTCGGCGCCGTACTCTCACAAAGGGCGGAGGACGGCATCGAAAGCCCGCTAGCGTATGCATCTCGCTCACTTACGAGCAGTGAAAGAAACTATAGCCAGATACAGAAGGAAGCGGCGGCCATTATCTTCGGGGTCCGACGCTTTCATCAATATTTATACGGTCGCGAAGATCCTTTTATCCTGAAAACCGACCACAGACCATTGGTATCAATTTTTAATCCTAAAACAGGTATTCCTGTTACTACTGCGCTAAGACTGCAGCGATACTCAGTTATATTGTCCGCTTATAACTATGTCGTACAATATGTATCTAGCGGAAATAATATTGTGGCCGATTACTTCTCACGCGCTCCTGTAAAATGCGTCAACGAGTCGTCGAACGATATAGATACAAACGATATAGACACTCATTATGCAGTTAGGTTTCTCGATGCGTCATCGCCGGCCACTTCGGCCCGCGACGTTGCGCAGACGACGGAGCGAGATAGGACGATTAAAACCGTGCTTAGGTACATGCAACACGGGTGGCCGCGTAAATTAAAATGTAAATCTATTTTACCTTATTTTCATTGCAAGTCCGATTTACAATATGAGAATGGTTGTCTTTTTAGGGGACATAGGCTTGTTATACCACTCGGGTTGAGAGATAGAATGTTACGCGAGCTTCATGATTCTCATTTAGGAATAACCAAAACTAAATGTAACGCTAGAAGTAGAATGTGGTGGCCCGGTATTGACCGGGACATCGAACGCTGGATCGGATCATGTGCGACGTGCGCAAGCGTGCGGGCCGCCCCGCCGCGCGACCCCCCCGCGCCCTGGCCTCCCTCCACCGCGCCATGGCAACGAGTGCACATTGATTACATGACTGTAGGGCAGAGGGTATATCTGGTAATCGTCGACTCCTACAGTAAATGGATAGAATGTCTGTACATGCATAACGGAACCTCATCTAATGCTTTAATAACAAAATTAAAAGGCGTTTTGTCTAATTTTGGAATACCAAATGTTTTAGTGTCCGACAACGATGTAAAAATTAATTCACTCGAGTTTCAGACATTTTGTTCATCGAATGGCATAAAATACATGACATCACCCATTTACCATCCGCCAAGTAACGGTCAAGCTGAGAATTCAGTAAGAACATGTAAAAAAATGTTAAAATGTATATTAATTGACAATTTACCTTTGCACAAAGTTCACGACATGTTATTAGGGTACCTATTTAACTATAGAAATACCGTACATTGTACCACGGGTGAAACGCCGGCAAAGTTAATGTTCGGCAGAAATTTGCGGTCGCGTCTCGATTTGATTTTACCTTTAAAAAATCATAATTCTAATTCACTTACGGCAGCCGGGAAAAGATCTTTTGAAATCGGCGATATCGTTTGGACCCGATGGTACAGTGCACGAAAAGAATCTTGGCAGTTAGGTAGAATAAAAGAAAAAATAGGAAATAAAATGTATAGAATTCATATTAGGGACATGGAGGTTTGGTGTATTAGACATGTGGATCAAATTATTAGATATACGGGTTCAGACAGTAGTCGCGACGATATTGTCGCTGCTGAGGAGACTCGTTGCCCCTCCACGTCGCCGGCTACTGTAAATGCACACCCTCCCGCGCAACAGCCTATGTTTCCGGGTATAAGTAATACGGTGCAAAGTATGGAACAGGCTACGAATATGCAGACGGGTGAGCTGCAATCGCCCTCGAATACTGGAGCGCCGAATCTTGGTTCATCTGACCACGGTGAGGCAGAAGAAGTAAGTGACTGTGAGACTAGGGAGTATGAAAAGGACAACATTGCCCCCGTAGAAAGGCCTATGGCAGAAACGGAGGCTGTGCCGTCCACAATTGGCGATTCCCATGTACCGCCAACATTGCCACTTTTAGCCACACGCCCAGACGTACAAGACCAAGGGTGGATTATAAAAAGTATTTTTAAGTAGCGATTGTTAATTATAGTTACGCAGGGATCAAGTTTGCTAATTATTGTTAATAGTTATTATTAGTTGTTAAGTTTATGTAGAAAAATTTTTTTTACTGTATTTAATTAAGAAACCTTGTTACCAGGTTCCAAAATTAAGTGGGGAGGAATGACATATACATGTGCAGTACGGTCATCCAACCAGTAATAAGCGAGTGTTACAAGACAGCGGTTGTTTCATTGCATTCACAAACATATCATATAGAAAATATTATGAAGCAAATTTAAGTATTCCTGGAAAGCCGTAACAGGAACACAACGACGTGCCCTAAAAGATTTATGAGGGTTATCGCCAGACGTATGAAGGCAATGAGGCGATTTATGACACGTCAATTTTGTATTCCACTTTGCGTATATTTATGTGCATTGCATGTGTTAGCAAACTGTAACAGTAGCGTGTAATATCGTGAAGTTCTCTCACGTATGTGTTTAATATAAATAATATCACGTTTGAGTAAATTGTTACAGATGTTGATGAAATCTTCCTCTGATGCATAAACTAATTACTTTGCCCATTCTCATATGAAAAAATCCAGAGGTGTCAGGTCTGGGGACTATGCCGGCCAAGGAATAGAACCAGCTCTACCAATCCACGAGTTGAGAAATGAATCGTTTAAATGTTCCTGTATCGTTGGTTGGTAATGTGCTGGACAAGCATCATTTTGAAAAATATTTAACCCTTATTGTTATAAAACATTAACTTATTCAGTTCAGGTAAATCATAAACAAGATATTCGGAATTATTGTCCCCGTTCAGGTGTTCTGGCGAAAAATGTAGGCCATTAAGATTTTGAACAATATCACCAGCTCAAACATTAACAGAAAATATTCGTGGATAATAAATCTGCCTTTATTAAGAGGATTATGGCCTTTTTTCTCTCAATGATGCCAATTTTGCAAATTCACTTTGCCTTCATGGCTAGAGTTGGACTCGTCGGTCGACAAAATTATTTTTAAATAGTCGCCATCTTCAACATCAGTGTCAAGGTCACAGTCAATCAAACAAAAATCCCTTAAGTCAAGGTCGCCGTATCGGCACTACGGAACAACTCTATTCTACGCTACGGCGCTACGGCGCTACAGCACTTTCAGTATGTTTTCTAAGCATTCTATTTGAAATTCCATGACATCTATGACGTACTTCCAGTAGATCCGTAGAAAAGGAAATCGTGTGGGAGGATTACATTGTCACGGTAATTTTATCTATACAGTATTCCAACTTCATACAAACGGACGAAGCGAGAGCTATGCCTACGCGCCTCGATCTCGGCATGCGCTCGGCATGCAGACAGTCGAGACTGTGCCGCAGTGATGATTTTGTGAAATATATAAAAAAAAATGGAGGAAATAAATAATAGAATAAAAATAAAGAAATAATAAATTCAAACTTCATTTAAAACCAGACATATAAATTGTAAAGTAGCTGCTATCTATAACCATCTAAAAGATATTAATTTTCTCCACCTTGTCCATGTTTCCCAAAACAATTTTTAATTAAGCTTTATACTAGAAAGCGGATTTTTTTATATTTACAAATTTAATAATAAAGCATTTCGTAAGTCTCAGCCGAGGCGCAAATATTTTTTAGTCGCAAATTAATAAACTCCTGATTTGTTATTCAAACATAAACATGTTTTTTAATTAAATCTACCAATCAAAAAACGACACGCATTGTTATTGAACACTTCCTATTCAATTCACAAAGTACCTATTATTTTTTTTTTGAAACAGAATCTACAGCTTGTACATTTACCAATATATATAAACAAGTTTTGATATATCATGTAATATAGAAGCCTTTATAGATTTACATTTCTTATATTTGTTTATTTAAAAAAGTATATTTAAAATCATAAAACTAAATGGAAACACAAAGTAAGCAAATGTAAAAACGCTGGGGGCAGGCAGCCCTATCGCATGTTTACGTACCGCGCGGCTGTAGGCATTTATTTGAAAGATACGACCGAGTTACAATACTGTATGGATAATATTACCGTGACATTGTGGTTTAGCGCTTCACGCTAGAAGGATTAGGGTATTAGAGGGAAGAGTTCTCCTCTAACGAGGAGGGCCCGTATTGGTGAGATCAGCATTAATAGAACAATAAATGCTTATGACAGCGGTTCTGTTACCCAGGTGACATGTGGCGAAGGTTGATCGCCAAAAGGTTTTAAATCGATGTAAGTCTGACTACGGCATGTCACCCTTGAGTATCTTTGCACGACATTGGCCTACTATTAATTCTGGAAAGATTATGGAGCAGGATTTGTTGATTCAACTGTTCCCAATGCTTTTTACTCCACTCATAACATCACCATTCGTGGGACGAAATAGGGGTCTCTTACGCCGCCACCACACGGAAAAGAGAGAAAGAGAGAGAGAGAGATAAGTTACCTTAAACGACGATATTTAAAAGAAATTAAACTAAGCGCGATAAAATCTATAAAATTATGTTTACTCATAGGATCGCTTTTAAGGAAATCTTATATGTAGAGAAATCCTACACGTTGAATAAACTAAATGTAGGAATTTTATTACGTTTAATTTAACTTACCTTGAAAGTCGGGCGTCGGATGATACTATCAGGTGAGCCGCATGTTCGTTTCAAAAAAAATACAAAGTTAATAAGCTCGAAGTATTTTCGCTATAATTTATACTCCAAATTCGCATAGCTATGGTATAATCCGAATATAATCCGTAGCTTAATACGATGCGGCGAAACAGTGCATGAGGCTTAAATTTCGGTGACAGCTGCTAACACCCCGGCTTTTATAAGGCTTAAATGTTATGTTATTAATTAAGGTTCTCAATTTTTACACGCAAGGTTTTTAAGGGTTGTTTCTGAATCGAAATTAATATTTGGGCAAAAACACAATATGTAAGTGAGAGCCGTGGTAGCTCAGATGGTTAACGCTCGCTGTAAATATAACAGAACGCGAGTTACTCGGGTTCGATCCCCGCCGACACCAATGAAATTGTTAATTGCAATTTTAAGTGCTGATTTACCACGTGCTCGGCGTTGAAAGAAAACATCGCGAGGAAACCTGTATGTCTGAGAAATAAGAAAAAAAATATTTCGAAGACATGTAAAGTTTGCCAACACGTACTGGGGCGGCGCGGTGAACATTTCCTTGCCCTAAAACCCTCTCAGAAATGAGTGGAGGCCTGTGCCCAGCAGTGGGACGTAGTGTAGTGTTCGTGTAAGTATATGTCCCACACTGTCCCGTGGGTGTCATGACAGAGGGAAACTGAAAGAGGAAATGAGCATCTTCCTGAACAATTTAAAATGAGAAATAAAATTGCCATCACAGCTGTCAGCCTTTCTAAGCACGGCAACTATGACCAAGTTAATATCAACATAATGCAAACTATGTGAGAGGTTCAACAGTGTGTTTATGTTCAACAATGAACTTTTATAAGATGGCTGAATGTAAACATATTTTCCACGATCATTGGTGATTATTATGAATGATAATTACAGACGTGTTGTGTCTTGTGAAGATTGATTGATGTTGAATATCCTCAGCCTGTGAATTGTTCGGGGTCCTTTCGGTATAAGGTATATCAGATTGGACCACTAATGTTCGGAAAAGCGTGCCGATGCATACCAAGAATAACTTGGATGCTATTTAATTAAAATAAATGGGAATATTAACAGAACAGATCGTAATCTTTTTGTTCCTTTCTTCATCCAGAATTATTTTGAGTCAAGATAGGATGTCTTCTCCTTCCATTCTCCTTTATTTGCCGACATCTCATTACATACTAATTTCTTACGCATATCATCCATAGCACAGTTCGTCCACCTACATATTCAACATCCTTCTCCTATATTTATTGCGACTTGGATCCAATAATTTAATATATAAAAATTAATGTTTGTTCGCTACAAAAGGCGGGAAGTCGTAAGTAAATTGTTTTACCATTAAATTGTAGATTTAAAAAGAATTTTTAATTTTACAACGACCACAAGGACTGTAATATTATCATCATTAAACTTCTCTCAGCTGCTTTAATGATTTCTTTTAATTATGCCACTAATACACGTCCAATAAAATAATATTACATATTTTATAGCGTTTAATTTTACTTATTCTTAACTTATTTTAATTCCCGTGACGTTAAGAGGGCTTTGTAAAACCCAAGATAATATTCTTCTTTTAATTTATGGAAATCTTGTAATATAACGAAATCTTTCAAGGCAAGGGCACTGAGGTGTTTCACGTCCTTATATCATGGTAATGTAAATCCGTCTGGTTAGATCGTTGCAGAACGCGCTTATAAAGTCTTTAGCACTTATAAGGTCCTGAAGCCTTGCATTGATGTTCTTTGGTTTGGATTTTTTTAAATTAATTAAGAGGTTTTCAATTCAATACTCTGAAGAATCATCTTTGGTAGTGTTCAGTATTCTCTTGAAGCTTACATCATTAATCTGTTTTTATGAACTGACGTAAAATCTGTGAATTTTTTTATTCCAAGTTGTTAAAATTCGGTATAATTTTTGAACACTGATTGAGAGAGAACACTTTGGTCTGCTTCACTACTATTTAGATATTTTACTGATCTCGTTTACAAATACCTTACACAGTTACACCATTTTAGGGGCTCCACGACCTATCCGTTCTACATATTATATCAGACTAATGTACCACTATGTAATTTATAAAATATTTATGACAGTAAATACAAATCTGTCATACGGCCCTAATTCCTGCGGTACAGTACTCAGCATCGTTTTCTCGTCGAATGAGATTTTTATTTATAAATCTCAAGAAAACTTTTACTACGGTATGTTTATCTTTTCTCCTAGATATATGTTATTTCTACCACAAAGTAATAGACTTTTGGGATGGTCTCAAAATAAAGAATTTTAATTAATTTTAATAATTATAAATAATTTTTATACGTGGTAGAGCTTGCACGCTGCAGCTATATTACGGTTGTAGCACGAATGGGTCGGCT